CTCTCCCATCTTCTCTATCTCTCTCATCGTCCTCTATCCTCTCACTCTCCCTCTCTCTCTCTCCTCTCCTCTCTATCCACTCTCCCTCTCTCTCTTTTCTCCCTCTCTCTACTCCCTCTCTCCACTCTCTCGTCTCTCCCACTCTCTCACTCCCTCTCTCCCCCTCTCTCCTGTCCCTCCCCTGCTCTTAGATCTCTGTATCTGCTTATCTCTCGTCCCCCTCCTTTTCTCTTTCCCCCCTGTCTCCCCCTCTCTCACTCCCTCTCTCCCCCCTGTCTTCCCCTCTCTCCCCCCTCTCTCCCCCTCTCTCTCCGCCTCTCTCCCCCCTCTCTCTCCCTCTCTCCCCCTCTCTTTCCCCCTCTCTCCCCCCCCTCTCTCCCCCCCCTCTCTCCTTCCCTCTCTCTCTCTCTCTCTCTCTCTCTCTCTCTCTCTCACACACACACACACACACACACACACACACACACACAGACAGACACACACACACACACACACACACACTCGTCGGCTGCAGTGAACACCCTCAGTCCTTAGTCCTTAAGCCCAGGAGACCCTGCAGCCGGGTTGCAGTGACCAGGGGAGGCGTCTCCACCTGGCGGTGGCCGCTCTGGGACGGCTCCCCCGTGACCCCCGGCTGTCCCCGCTGAGCCCCGTCAGACTCCCCACGGGGAGCCCCTCAGAGCCGGCCCGCTGCTGCCTGGAGACCCCGCTGTCCGCCGTCAGGAGAGCATCCCGAGCGAGACGCGGCCACAGGGCACCCGGGCGGGCGGGACCCTGAGAGGCAGGAGCGGACAGCAGTGCTGGTCCTTGTCCCCCAGCTTCCCGGCGGGCCTGGGGGTACTGAGGCCACAGGGCCCGGGGGGGCTCTGGGTGAGCTCTCTCCTCCCCGCTGGGATCACCCATCCCCCCCTCCCCTCCCTGCTGGGAGCACCCATCTCCTCCTTTCCCTCCTTGCTGGGAGCACCCATCCCTCCCCTCCCCTCCCTGCTGGGAGCACCCATCCCTCCCCTCCCCTCCCTGCTGGGAGCACCCACCCCTAACTCTCCTCCCCGCTGGGATCACCCATCGCCCCCTCCCCTCCCTGTTGGGAGCACCCATCCCCCCCTCCCCTCCCTGCTGGGAGCACCCATCCCTCCCCTCCCCTCCCTGCTGGGAGCACCCACCCCTAACTCTCCTCCCCGCTGGGATCACCCATCCCTCCCCTCCCCTCCCAGCTGGGAGCACTGACCTTCTGCCTGGAGACCCATCTGAGTCAGGTCCATCTCTCAGAAAAAGCGCTCGCTCCTCCCTCAACCCTTTCCGGTCCCCTGCACCCCCCTCTGCAGCTGGACGCACACCCCTCTCCTTCTCGCCAGAATCTATCTGACGAGCATCTTCCTCCTGAGGCCGGAGAGGGACTGGCCTCTTGGCCGGACTGGATTTTTCTACAACTCGGCCGGGACGCAGGCACCCTCGGTGCCCCCTCGGCTCCGGCCGCTGGTCAGGCACGACCCTCGCTTTCCGAGGGACCTCACGCCCCGCAGCCCTGCCCGCCGCCCAGCAGATCCGACCACGCCGATCCTACCTCGAGTCCCCGCTCCTGCTGTGGCCACAGCTGCCCCGTGGCCTCAGGAGCTGCCTGGTGCTGTGCCCACGCCTCGCCCACCAAGGGCCCGGCCACCAGGGCACCCCGAGCGGCCACAGGTCCTCAGCTGTGCAGCCGCCTCTCTGCTCTGCCGGGCATCGAACCTGTGACCCTTCGGTCTGCAGGCTGGTGCTCTAACCATTGAGCACACCGGCCACGGTCCTCTGTTTCTCTCCTTCGCCAGGGCTCTGGGTGGACTCGGCTTGGGGGGGCGGGAAATTCCTGAAGATGGGGGGACACAGAGGCCCCACGGCTTCCTGCTGGGCCCGCAGAGCCGTGGCCGGCAGGCTCGGCGGCACCGGCTTCGGGAAACGTCTTCTGGGAAACGACGCAGCCAGTGCTGCCCCGGGGATAGCCTTGCAGCCGGGAAACCAGGGAGGGCTGCCTGGCGGAGGGGGCTTTTAAACCCAGAAGCGAGGCCGGGAGCTCCCGGCATCGCCGAAGCTCCACGTCTTTGGAGCGAAGATGCTCACGCTCAGCCCGGACGTGCTGTCGCCTCGGAGAGCCAGTCCCGAGGTCCCGGGGAGAAGGGACATTTCCCACAATTCCAGGTGCCTCTTTGGGGCAGAACACTTCCTGAAATTCAGGAAGAAGCCACCAACACACCCTGCCTCCCCCTCCCACCGCGGCCAGGAGCCCGGGAGGTCCCCAGCGCACCCGCCCGGATGGTCAGCATCCATCCCTTCCCGACTCTGCCAGGAGCACAGCCATACGCCTGACGCCAGGGACCGGGGCACAGCCAACTCTCCTGTCTCAGCACAGGACACCTTTCAGGGACAAGGACGGGCCTGGGAGGGAAGCCAGGTTCCTGCCACCCACAGTGTGTTTGCGGTCAGCAGCTCGTGGCCTTGCGTCCCCCTCCCGGACGCCACGGGCTGGGCGGGGGCATCTCATCCATCGGCCATCGAGTCCCCTGACCTTCACCCCGCAGTGACATTCTCGTTCAGAAATTATTTATCCAGAGGATGCTTTGTTGGGCCGGCGGGGGAGTCGCCTGGTCCCTGTGCCCAGCAGAGTCTGTGAGAAGGGGATTCAGAGTCACGTCCAAGGTCAGACATGACTTGCCGATAATGCCTCTGTTTCCTACCGAGTCCCCCTGCCGTTTGCCCAAGGCTGGAGAGCAAGAGCGGGCTTTGCTTTTATTTTATTGATTTTTAAAATATTTTATTGATTTTTAAAATATATATATATTTTATTGATTTTTTTACCGAGAGGAAGGGAGAAGCATAGAGAGTTGGAAACATCGATGAGAGAGAATCATCTACCAGCTGCCTCCTGCACCCCCCCCACTGGGGATGTGCCCGCAACCAAGGTACATGTTTTTGACCGGAATGGAATCTGGGACCTTTCAGTCCTCAGACTGACGCTCTATCCGCTGAGCCAAACCAGTTTTGGCTATTTTATTGATTTTTTTGCAGAGAGGAAAGGAGAGGGATAGAGAGTTAGAAACATCGATGAGAGAGAAATATCCATCAGCTGCTTCCTGCACACCTCTCACCAGGGATGTGCCTGCAACCAAGATACATGCCCTTGACCGGAATCGAACCCGGGACGCTTCAACCTGCAGGCCGATGCTCTGTCCACTGAGCCACCCAGCTGGGGTCTGAGGCCGCATACATTGCACAGCTGCCTGGCCTCTGGGGGCAACGCTGGCATGCGCAGCAACCTTCCTCTGAGGCCGGGAAGCACCGCCCCCTTTTCCTGGCTCCCTGGTTGCCTTAAGTTCTGGTATCTGAGGGGTCCCCCACCCAGAGTCTGGCTCCTTTGTCTCCAAAGATCTCGGCGGAGGGGGCACTGGACACCGGGGTCTCAGAGTGAGGGGTACAGCGTGGGATTCTGTCACCAAGTGGGTCCCCGGCTTTTCCTTTTTCTTTTCTTTTTTCTGCGAAGCCTGAGTTTATTTCTATATAAACATGCTCGAGAGACTTTGCAGAGGCCCAGTGGCATCCAGGTTTAAATTAAGATCGTCCGAGGTGGCATCTGTCCGTCCCTCCTTTGGCGAGGCGTCCATTTGATCCTGGTTCGTGAAGCACCTCCATCACTCTAGCTGGAGCGTGGCCATTCCCCGTCTCTGTCATCAGTGGCCACCGGTTCTGAAGGAGGAGGCAGGGACTGCCGGAAACCAGCGCGAGACGCCTGCGGGCTCCACATGAATGTCCTGATTCTGTGAACAGGCGCGGGGATTGCCAGCTGGAGCCGGAGGTCATGACCAGTGTCCCCTGCAGAGACTGGCAGGAAACAGCCCTTCCGGCCGGGAACCAGCAGACACCCTTCCAGATGCAACACCCGGCTTTCTCAGTGAGCGACACTGACCTCGTCTGGAGGAGGAGGAGGAGGAGGTGACGTGGGAGACCTGGGGCACTGGTCCTGGGGTGGACCCTGGGAGCTCCTGGGCAGCGAGGTGGGCACACTCACCAGGCCAGGCCCTCAGGAAGGCTCTGAGAGCCCACCTGGGGCTCAGGTTCGGGGCCTTGACAGCTGGGGTCCTCCCCAGCCCAGACCACCTCGGCACCCAGAGGCGGACAGGCTGGGCAGAGCAGAAAACGTTCAATGCATGACCCGGAATGGCTGCTTTTCGCACTCAACTGTTGTATTAAGCATGAGCGATGTTTGTTGACCGTGGGCAGAGGGATTTAAAGAGTAAACGACAGAACTTCCATTTCCCTGCCTCTCTTTACCCGCCCCTTCCCTCCCCCCCTCCCCGCCCATCGCATCCCCGTGGTCACTGGTTGGTGGTGTTTGGTGGCAGCCCCCGGTCCCTTAGGTGTTGAGTTCCACAGGAAGCCCGGAGTGGGGGGGGGGTGGTGGTGCTTTTTCTAATTTTTGTATCGGTGCCCACAACCTTTGTATTTTTTGGATTGCAGACACTGTGTTTTCTGGTCTTTGGGGTTGGTGGAACTTTTGTGTATTGCCTTTTGGAAAAACCTCAGTTTGACCACGGTCTCAAGCGGATTTGAAATAAATTCTTTTGACACTGCCAGCGGCGGAAAGGCGAGGTGTGGTCTGTGTTGACTGCTGGGCGCGGGTCTGCTCTTTACCGAATAGCCTGTATAATAAAAGCGTCATTAGGCCGGGCATCCTTCTGCACGATGCTGCGGCTGCGAGGGAAGCCCGGGTCCCGGGTGCCAGAGAGAAGCCGGTGCCAGAAGCAAACGGGGGAAGGCAGACCTCATCTTGCACCGATTTCGTGCATCGGGCCTCTGCTATGAAAATAAATGACTTCAGAGAGGGAGAGGGAAAGAGAAACATCAATGGTGAGAGGGAACCATTGAATTGAGACTGTAACTGGGGCGTGTGCCCTGACCAGGAATCGAACCATGACCTTCTGGTTCATAGGTTGACGCTCAACCACTGGGCCACACTGGCTGGGCTGAGGACTTAGCTTAGATGTGCCACAAGCTCTGAGAAGCTCCAGAAATGCTCTCAGCAAGGGCGAGCGCACTAAGGAACATGTCCAGCTGCCCGGGTTTTGCTTTAAGGAACTGGCAGCCCCTTACACGTGGGTTCTAGGACACGAGTCGAATGCACCTGCTATTTCATAGTCACGGCCACACCCCCCCAAAGGGTGAATTTTATTTATGTCGCTTCCTATGAAGTAGACTTCATATACTTGACACTGAACATGGAAGTTGCTTTTCCCCACAGAGTAACATGACAGACGATCACATTCGTAGCTCTTTCACGATGAGTGACATCGAATCGTTGTTTTAGAAAGTCAAACGGCGACTTAAAGCTCATCGTTAGCCCTTATAAACCAGTCCGTTCTGGAAAATCTTATTCGGAGCAAATGCATGAAGCACCCGTGACTGGGACTCGGGTGACGGGCTGGGAATGTGAAGCTCTCTCCCAGGTTTTCTTCGCATTCCCACGGCGCTGCCCCTCGGACACCGTAGCCCAGCAGCCTCACTGGTCCTGCTGGATGTTTTCCTCGGGGAACCGTCATGAACCAGGAAGTGCAGAACCGTCTGGAGCCCGCGGCCCGGGCTCAGCGCACGGCGTCCCCTCCCCTCGCGCGGACGGCAGCTCACTTGGCCGTTCGGGAGGAGTTGATCTTCCTGATGTCCACGTGGCTCAGAATCAACGTCCCGTTTCTGAATTTTCCCACCTGGCCGACCCGCCCATTGGACAGAATGCTGGGCGCCGCCTTCTTCTTCCTGGACTTCCTACATGGAGAGAGAGAAGGGTTCAGAGTGAGGGTAGCCGCGCCGATGGCCAGACCACGTGGTATTCCCGCTGAGCCCCGCCCTCCATGTCTTTTCTGGTCCCTCAGACCCGCCACCTGCCCAGGGTCGTCCTGGTTCCTTCCCCAGGTGCCGCCTCGCTGTCACCTCCTGGGCCGGACATCCCGCCCACCCGGGCACCTGCGCTGTCTGTCTGTCTGTCTGTCTGGGTGTGTTTGCCTCACCACAGTGTCAGGGCCTCGAGGGCAGGGATGCACTCCAGGTGCTCATGGCTGCATCCCCTACGCCGCCTACATGCCTGGCACGGCCAGGACACATGCCAGCCGGAGGCGAGGGCAAGATCACTGGAGCCCAAGAAAGAGGCCAAGATACCAGGAGCCCGTTTTGAAATAGTAAAGGGGACGAGGGGGGCGGGAAGGGAAGGAGCTAGAACAAAAGCTAAGAAACACCCATAAGCAACACAATCAGTATCTGCTATTCAAATCCTGGCGCTCTGCCTGCAGGCCAGGCCCTCCCCACAGGATGGGACGTGGGATGGGACATGGTCACATGCGAGGGGACAGGGGACAGAGATCTTGCTGGAAATGTCAACCTCAGCGCTTCCCCTGGCCCCGTGCAGGTGTGGGTCTTTGGAAACGGGAGACAGTCCTCGGACCCTCCTGAGGTCGCTGCTCGGGGTGGGCAGTTGACTACATCCTGTCTCCCCTACAGGCCTGGATGGCCCTCACAGGGAAGCATGGGGCAGGCCAGATCCCGGGACCCCCGACGGCATTATCCTCAACCCTCAGCCACGGCTTCCCCCCGCCGTCCGCCCTCACGTCCTGTGGTGCCACTCACCCCTCCTCCGGCCCTTTCCTCTTCTTCTTCTTGAAAAGCTCTGTGTCCCGGGCCTGGTTGCAGAATGTAAGACAATATATGATCAGAAATAGCAAGAGGCCTGTGATCCAAAGCCACCGAGATGCTATTTATCTTCATGCTTTTTGAGGAGACAGGTTAAAACAACACAAAGTCCCTTCCTAAAACACTTCTGAGGCCGTGGAAGGCCGTTCCAGAGGAGACAGACGGTAGAAACGTCCACTATTCCGCCCTCGCCGGTCTGGCTCAGTGGAAAGAGCGTCAGCCTGCGGACTGAAGGTTCGAGTCCGGTCAAGGGCACATGGCCCAGTTGCAGGCTTGATCCCTGGCAGGGGGCGTGCAGGAGGCAGCGATCCAGAATTCTCTCTCATCATGGATGTCTCTCTCTCTCCCCCCCTCTCCTTTCCTCTCTGAAATCAATAAAAAATATATTTTTTAAAAAGAGAGTAAATGCAAAAGCTATTAAAAAAAAAAAAGAGTGTGGACCTTCCTGAGCAGCCGAGCCCAGCCTCCCACGGTGACAAACGGGTTTAATAAGGTCAAGGCCGTGACACCCACCATCCTCCTTTCCTCTTCCTTGGCTGCCTTCTTCTCTCTGATCTGCTCCTGCAAAACCTTGTAGTTCACGTAGCTCTTTTTGGGCGGCTGCAGTGAAGGGAGAGGGACACGCCATCACGTTGCGTTCTGCGCCCGTTTCCCAGCGTCCCTTGCCCCGGCTGGCCGCGCCCCGCCCGGGGACAGGAGGCCGCGCGGCCGCTCACCTGCGCGCCCAGCATGATGGCGCGCTCCCGCTCCAGGAGCCTCGCCTTCCCTTTGCCGTAACCCGTGATCCCGAACCGGTGCACCTCCAGCCGGGCCTGGAGACAAAGCCGGATCAGACCCGGGTGCTCCCCAAAACCTCCCCCGGAGGACACACCCACGCCCGTCTGGAGACCATGAGCAAGACACTGTGATGGTTCAGGGAGCTGCGTGAGGCCTCCCGCGGTGTGAGAGCCCCCTCCCAGCACCGCCCGTGCTCACTCAAAACAGCGGAGGCAAAGCATGCTCTCCGCACGCAGGAGGGACGGGGGCAGAAAGCTACCACGTTTCAGACCAACAGGCGCTTTCCAAGAGACGGGGTGTCCCCATGAGCTCGCCCCCGCCCCCCCGCCCCGGACGTGTTAGCACAGCTGTCTTTTTTGGCAGCAGAAAGATGGGAACGTGAACCATTCCGAAACACGTACCCTTTCCAAGTTGAATTCTTGTAGAGTCACATCTTTCTCAACAATGTTAGTTTTGGTCTGAAAAGGGGGAAAAAAAAAATTCTATTAAGATCATCTGTTACCACATCATTCTAGCCTCTGTCCCCTATGGAGTGGACACGTTCTAATTTTTTTTTAAAAAAAATATATATTTTGTTGATTTTTTACAGAGAGGAAGAGAGAGGGATAGAGAGTCAGAAACATCAATGAGAGAGAAACATCCATCAGCTGCCTCCTGCACACCCCCCACTGGGGATGTGCTTGCAACCGAGGTACATGCCCTTGACCGGAATCAAACCTGAGCTGGTACTCTACCCTGTATCCTTTTGCTGCAATAAATCATAACTGTGATATGCCCGGCCAGTGTGGCTCAGTGGGTTGAGCGTCATCCCATGAACTAAGAGGTTGCTGTTTCAATCCCAGGTCAGGGGCACATGCCCAGGATGTGGGCTTGATCCCCAGAGTGGGGCGTGCAGGAGGCAGCTGATCAATGTTTCTATCTCATTCACATTTCTCTCTCTCTCTCCCCCTTCCTCTTTCTCTTAAAAAACAAAAACAAAACATAACTGGGATGGTGACTGCATGCTGAGTCCTACTAGTGCTTTGGGCAAATCCCCCCAGGCGAGGGTGTGGTCCTGGGGGCCCCTGACAGTCTAGAATAGGGGTGTCGAACTCAATCAGAGAAGGGGCCAAAATCTAAAATCCAGCCTAAATCGCGGGCCGAATGGTTTACTGAACAGTCATAAACTGTCATTGTGATGGAAACGCAGCGGAGTGCAGTGATGACAGCGCCGTGAGGGCCACATTGCAAGGCCTGGCGGGACGGATTTGGCCCGCGGGCCTTGTCTTTGACACATGTGGTCTAGAAAGATGTTTGCCCAGTTCTACAACATCAGGGTTTCCATCCCAGACACACAAACTATCCAGCTCGCTACCTTGGTGTTCTCATCTTGGTCCGGCGTCTGTTTCCTCTTCTTATTCCTGCTGTGAAATTCCACCACTTCCACGGGCTCCCTCTTGCTCCGGGGACAGGGCGAGGCTGCAGCCGGAGGGGCTGGCGGCCCCGAGGGGGCCTCTGGGGAGGTCACGGAGGGGGCACCCTGCAGCTCTGCTCGGAGCTCCGAGAAGAAGGTCGCAGCCCTTTTCCTCGGGCCTCTTACGAGAGAACCAGGCGGGGGAGCGGGCTCGGCTCCCAATGCCACTGGGGCCCCCGCCTCTCTCTTCTTGTTTTCCTTTTTCTTTCTGGTCCGCTTCCGTTCTGCTCCATCTTCTGTCTCTCCTGTTTGCTCAACCACAAGAAGGAAAAAGAAATATTTTTATTTTTAGCCACCATTTTTATTTGAATCACGCGATTCACATATCAAATCACGTGAAGGCATGTACACGTCACCTCAAACACAAACACCCAGATCTACCTACAAAGAGGGTTTTGTTTTTCTTCAAAGAGGGTTGCTTTTGCACAATTTATAGAATCCAAATGCCACATGGGACGATGCTTAACCTGGGTAACTGGATTTGTCTCTGACTCTTATTAGCATAAGTCATTTTATCTTCACCTTGGCTGTTCCTAGGTCATCACAGCAATAGTCCCACACTGGGCCCTGACAGGTGTGGCTCAGTGGATAGAGCGTCGGCCTGCGGACTGAAGGGTCCCAGTGTCGATTCCGGTCAAGGGCATGTACCTTGGTTGCGGGCACATCCCCAGTGGGGGGGGGGGTGCAGGAGGCAGCTGATGGATGTTTCTCTCTCACCGATGTTTCTAACTCTCTATCCCTGGAGCCCACAACCCAGGCATGTGCCCTGACCTCCTGGGTCATAGGTCGACGACACTCAACCACTGAGCCGTGCCAGCTGGGCTTCTAAATATTTTTTATTGTTGCTAGTATTACAGACATCTCTCATTCCCCCTTCATCCCTCTTGTCCTGTGTCCTCCCAGCCTCCTCCCCCTTCCCCCCTCCCGACGCCAGGTCTTCACCACCCTATTGCCTTGGATCAACACCCCAGATCCTTTCCAGGGATCTCCTTGGGACAGACAGGAACTCGACCAAGGGGGTTCGGAGGAAGATGACAGGCCGGGGACGGTGTGTGCTGAACCCCGTCCCGGCCGAGGGGTGCTGGCTCACGGGAGTGCTCCCCACGCGGCCTCCGAGGCTCCCACTCACCGAAGTCGTAGAGGTTCTGGAGCACCGCGTCCAGCAGCTGGGGCGGGGGAGGCGGGGAGGGCGGCGAGGAGGGCCCCTGCTCCCGCCCCGGCCCCTGCCCCTGCGCCATCGCGATGGTCCCGCTCCGCGCGGCCGCCCGGCGCCCACCGGGGTGCAGGTTGCGCGCGTGCGAGTGCGCGGCGCACTCACTTCCGGGTTCCGCCGGCCGCGCGCGCACGCGCACCCGCACGCGCGCGCCGCAGGGCCCCGCGCGGCTTCCGTCCTGGCCAAGATGGCGGCGCCCGGGGTCCCGAGCAGCGGTCGCAGAGGGTGCCACCGCCCTCGGCGAGGTCGGGCCGCCCCGCGCGGAAGAACCGCCCCCAGCCGCCACCCCGCCACCGCCACCGCCTAGCACCGCAGCCCAGGCCCCGCCCGGGACGGACGGCAGCCGCGCCATGGACCCTTCCAGCTCCTCCAGCTCCCGCCTGGCCGTCGGCTCCCCCGGTCCCAGCGCCGCCGCGCTCCAGTACTCGGTAGGCGCCCCGGGGAAGGAGGCCCCGGGCGGGCCCGAGCGAGGACCCTCCCCTCCCGGCCTCGGCTGCCTCCGGGCCGGCGCTCCCAGAGCCCCGAAGAGCGTGGGTCCCCGACTGCCCCGGCGCGAGGAGGGCCTGGTTGGTTGACTTGGTTTCCAAGGCAACGGAGCATCCCTGCATCCCGGCGTGCGCGCTTTTCCCAAGTTTCTCCCGGCGACGGTTCCCCGCCCGCCCGGTTCCTTCCCTCTCGCGCCTTCCCTGTCCCTCCACCGGGCGCGGGGCCTCCCGAAAGCCCCCGCCTGGCCCGGGGCAGGAGGCGTGGGAGCCGGAGCGAGGGCGTGGCGGGCGCCCTTTTGGGCGAACCCGAGGAACCTGCGGGCCCACTCCGAGTTGGCAGGCCCCTGGCACCCACCCCGCCCTTCTGCCGGGCCCGTGTTCCTGGCCGGAAGACTGTTTGGCTCAACAGTAGGCAGAGAGTTTTTATGACTCAAGTCATTTTTAAAAAAATATACACATATTTGTGTGTGTGTGTTTACATTTTTAAAAATATGTCTTTTGCAGAGAGGAAGAGAGAGGGATAGAGAGTTGGAAACATCCATCAGCTGCCTCCTGCACACTCCCTACGGGCGATGTGCCCGAAACCAAAGTACATGCCCTTGACCGGAATCGAACCTGGGACCTTTCAGTCCGCAGGCTGACGCTCTATCCACCGAGCCAAACGGGTTAGGGCATTAACAGGTTTTTTATGTCAACAAAACTTTTACTTACCGGTCACTTACCATTGTCACGAGAGCTTTGTAGCTCTCAGGGTTGCATAATCCTGGCTTAACTCATGGTTGATTTTTGTGTGTTTTTTAAACAATAGATTAACTTTTACCTACTTTAGGAGGACATAGAAGAGGGCATTTCAAAGCTTTGCCACCATGCTTGTCCTAGCAGTTACTGTCAGTCTGACTTAAATATAACAATTTGTTTGAGAAGGGAAATCAGAAAAAAGCAAGATAAACAAAAAAAAACCCCCAAAACTCAAAAGTGTATGTGGCTGCCTTCCTATTGGGACATTAGGAACAAGAGGAAATGCCCATTTCCTGGCAGAGCTAGGAGCTCTTAATTGCTGTTGGCTGTCCACTTCTTGCAGGCCCGTCACTCTCCTGCCCTCCCCTCGGCCTTCCCACCCGACAGGTGTGTCTTGGGAATATTTGACCCCCAACTGCTGCTCCTGGGGGAGTCTGTAACGAACGTAGAAAGAGGGTTGTGGTGTGGCTCTGACATGTGTAGGTCTCTTTTTCCGTCCTAAGTGGCTTGTGACTGGAATACAATCCTCCTATTTAATAAATTTAATCCTCCTATTTAAGCCTAATATGCAAATTGTCCCCTCTACCCGGAGTTCAACTGGGTGTTCGACCTGGGGCAGAGCCAATTGGCCAACCGCCGGCAGCCCCAGCCCCTGGCCAGCCCCTCCCTTGATCGCCACCCCCCACCCCGATTGGCTGAATTCGTGCACTGGGCCTCTGGTTCCTACAGTATAGGAGCGAGCTGATCCTTTAGTTCCCCATTCACCAGGGGTTCTTTACTGATAAGACTTTTGTCAACGTTTCATGCGAACAGCAAGGCAGTTGCATGTGAGCTTTTTCTCCTCGGATGCTGCACATGTCTCGTGATTTCATAGTTGGACTCTCATGATGTCCTGAACTTGTTCTTACTATTACTGATTCGGGCCTGCCCTGCGCTTGTACAATGCTCTGTCTCATCTGAGAGCGACATTCGAGGTATTTGAGACATTGCTGATTGCAGCAAACATCGCAGCACGAGTGCCTGCAGAGCCCTTAGTCATTCTCCTCAGCTCAGGACGCAAGCTAAAGAGCTAGCCCTCCCCTCTCCGCACTTCAAAGGAAATCACGAAAGTAAACAGCTCGTTGCAATGAAGTGAGATAAGGGCAGTGGTGGAAACACGGGCAGTGCATTGTGGGAGGGAGGAGGAGGAGGAGCCCCTGGCCTGTTTGGAGGTTAGAGAAGGTGACACCTGCGCTGAGTTCTTGAGATGTGAGGGGGGATGAGGGAGAGGAAGCCTGCTCTGGGCATCCATGAAGAACACGCACATCGGGGGACCACATGGTCAGGGAGGCTGGACTAGAGGGGACCCGAGGATGAAGGCCAGGAGGCAGGCGGGTCCCATTTCCTAACGGGATCTTCTGTGTCACGTTTCCCCATCCTCACCGCTAACGTCGGAACTTTACTCAGCACCACTTCAGGGGTTCACAGTTGTACGTTGAAGGTCTGAGAGAACTGCTTGGTTTCTGCCATGGTCACCTGGATGATGAATACTCTCTCCTACTTAAGTGGAGACTGTGGGACGAGAGGCCGGCCGGGGAGAGAATGTGATGCCAGGCTGCTGGACGTGCATCAGGACAGATAAGGGAAGGCAGCCTGAGTGGGCAGGGGCCGTGAGTGTGGGGAGAAGGGTGATGTTTGGCAGCTGGAAGGGTGGGTGAGGAAGAGGAGGCAGTCTGGGGTTGACTCCTGGTTTCTGTGGTTGGGCAACTGGGTGGATGAGATGCCTTTCGCAGATAGGAGATGCGGACAGAGCAGGTTTGGTCAGGGTGCAACTGAGGTTGTGCTCAGTTTGAGATGGGGGAGGCAAAGCTAATGATTTAAAAATATGTATATATATATATATTTCAGAGAGAAAGGGAGAGGTAGAAACATCAGTGATGAGAGAGAATCATCGATCGGCTGCCTCTTGCACGCCCCCTACTGCGGATCGAGTCTGCAACCCAGGCCTGTGCCCTTGGCTGAATTTGAACCTGGGACCCTTCAGTCCGCAGGCCGATGCTCTGTCTACCGAGCCAGACCAGTCAGGGCTGAGCTAATGGTTTCTAATTTGTGGATTATTGTGTTATGGACCAGACACGTCACAAGGGGCTTGGATGACATCCAAATGGAGTTAGGAGTATGGTAGCAGAGCAGAGAGGAAGCTCTGGTCTCAATATATAAGCGTGGCAGCCCTCACAGGTAGGCTGTGTCCTAAACACTGGTCTGATGGAGACTGTCAATGGGAATCGCTGGCTTCCTGCTGGAAATGAATGAAAAATCTCGGCTCCTTACAGTGTACCACAGGACAGCCCGTCCTCAGGCGGGCAGCCGCTGCTATTTATTAGCGAGGTCCCAGCACAGAGAGCTCGTCCCCAGAGGGGACTTAGCCAGCCATTCAGTCTCTCTCTCTCTCTCTCTCTCTCTCTCTCTCTCTCTCTCTCTCTCACACACACACACACACACACACACACACACACACCCGCTCTCTCATCAGCCACTCTACCCCATTGTCCTCAGAGGATTTCATTTCCAGTGTTGGCAGCCGGAGTTCGTAGTCTTGTACTTGCTGTCAGAGCTGATTGTGAAATTTTCATGGAGCTTGCAAGCCCACTGTTAAAGCGCAGCCATCATTAAAAATTAAAGAGTGAGCCTTGGCCGCGTAGTCTGCGGGCTTGTTTCCCATCAGGGTACTCACCTGGTTCGCGGGTTCGATCCTTCATCCGGCATGTATGAGAGGCGTCCAGTTGATGCTTGCCCCTCTCTCTCCCTCCCCACCTTCTCCTTCCTCTCTCTATAAAAATCAACAAACATAGTCTCAGGTGATGACTCAAAAAATATTAAAGATTAAGTTATAAACTTACAATTAAAGAAATCCTGTTAAAAAAATAGCCCGGCCAGTGTGGCTCAGTGGAGCGTTGATCTAGGAACCAGGAGGTCACAGTTGGATTCCCAGTCAGGGCACAGGCCCGGGTTGTGGGCTCCATCCCCCCTGGGGAGCATGCAGGAGGAGCCAATCGATGATTCTCTCTGACATCTTGTTTCTCTCTCTCTCTTTCCCCCTCTCCCTCCTTCTCCCTAAAATCAATTAAAAAAACAACAACAACAACACACATTTAAAAAATAAAACAGGATGATAATTCAATATCAATTTATTGGTCCTATGTACATTTTTTTTTTTTTTTGAATGTGAAAATCTAACATTCGATCGCTCTGCTCTTGTCATATGTCACAGAAAACAAATTGGGCAGAAATAAAGCTTTTCAGGTATCGTCCCCAATCTGTCCTACCTTGTATTACAGTATGTGTATGACTTTCTTTCATTTCCTGTCCACAGAAGGAGCCCAAAAAGTGGGACGAGTTTGAAGATATGTTAGAGGAAAGGAGGCATGTCAGCGACTTGAAGTTTGCGATGAAGTGCTACACCCCTCTCCTGTACAAGGGCCTCATCCCGTGCTCGCCCAGCGACATTAAGTGCAGCGTTCTCAACTCCGAAGAGGTGTACTACGTCATCAAGGAGGTGAGCTGGCCCCTCTTCCGCTCAGCCAGGTCTGCTCCTGGCCAGCAAGTCCCTTCTCTTCCCGATGCTGTGAATTTATTTCGCTCTCTTTAATGTATCTCTTTTAAAAATATATATTTTTATTGATTTCAGAGAGGAAGGGAGAGGGAGAGAGAGAAACATCAATGATGAAAGAGAATCATGGATCGGCTGCCTCCTGCGCGCCCCCCACTGGGGATCCAGCCCGCACCCGGGCCTGTGCCCTGACCGGGAATCGAACTGCGACCTTCTGGTTCCTAGGCCACACTAACCACTGAGCCACGCTGTCTGGGCTGGGCTTCAGGTGTCCTTTTAGGTTTAGGTATATTCGGCACACCCATCGAATGCGTACCATAGCCAGACGTGTGTGAGCCTCTGTCCTGGACTCGGGGGTCTGGCAGTGAGCAACTCGAGCTGAGCTGCTGCCTCTTACTCATCAACTTTAATACAAGACCCGCTAGTGGGCGCCACTGCAGGGCCACTCATGAGAGGGAAGCTAGTTTTGTGTAGGGAGCTAAAGAGAGATTTTAAAAATGAGCCCTGAACGAGGATGAGGAGTTTTCCAGGTGGACGTGG